TACCTATAATTTGTGAGATTTTATCTGAAAGAAATGGTTTTTTTCTTTTAATTAATTATTTAATTTCCAGACTGATCAAAGTTTCCCCTCCCTCCCTGCCTTCCTCCCTGCCTCCCATGCCACCCCTCTCTCCCAACCACTCCTCTCCCTTCTCTTCAGAAAAGGGCAGGCCTCACATGTGTATTAGCTAGCCAAGGTAAATCAAGTTGCAGTAAGATTAGACACCTCTTCTCTTATTAAGGCTAGATAAGGCAACCCAGCAGGAGGAAAGTGTCCCTAAAGCAAGTAGTTCCCACTGTTACGGGTCTCACAAAAAGATCAGCTACACAACTATAGAGGGCCTAGGTCAGTCCCATGCAAACTCTCTGACTGGCATTTCAATCTCTGTGAGCTCCTATGAGCCCAGGTTAGTTGTTTCTGTGGGTTGAAAGAAATAACTTTAAAATGCTGAGAAATGTCCATATCAAAACCTAGAAACATTTCTAGTTTAGATTAAGCAAATATATGAGGTCATGAAGTTATGATATAAAAAAAAAAAAAAAGGTATGTAGTAAACAGTCACTAAGAGTAAACTATTTAGCCTAGTGTGGTGTATGACTTTAATCCCAGCACTTGGGAGACAGATGCAGGTAGATCTCTAAGACCAAGACCAGCCTGGTCTACAGAGTGAGTTCCAGGACAGCCAGGGCAACACACAGAAACCCTGTCTCAAAACAGACAAACAAACAAAAAAGAACTATTTAACCATCCCATAGCAATAGCAGATTTGCTGACAGATTCAAATAACTTTTCTCCAAGCAATATAAAGCAATAGGTCCTTCAACTGAAAAGATCAAAGTCTTTGATTTCTATTTCCAAGTAAATCTGCAGCAAAATTACTTAACTGTATGTGGTTCGTTGCTCAATAAACGATTTTTCGTACTTTATTCTACTGCAAATATTTCAAGAACTCATAATTTTAACTTAAAATACATTTTTATTAGTTTTCTTAGTCTAATCAATTTCAAGCAAATTCCCTACTTTAATGACTTAAAAATTAGACTTTATTTTTACTGTTAACACACGTGTATGTGTGTGTGTGTGTGTGTGTGTGTGTGTAGGAAAAATATTGGTGGTAAGTAAAAGTTATTATAGAGTATTAACACTTAAAACTACTGACATTCATTACATATTAACTGCCATTATCATTATGGAAATTTTATCTTTGAAAGAAGGAAAGTCAAGTTCCTGTCCAGGCTATTTTTCTGTGAGAAAATTAGCAATACCCCCCCAATTTCTTTCCCTTAAAAATAAGAAACAAAAATTCAAAAAGTTCCTTTAAAACTACCACTGTTCTGAGCCTTTGGTAAAGGTTTGTAATCCTAGCCAGCAGGAAGGTTGAGGCAGAAGGATCTTTTTTTTAAATGTTTTTCGAGATAGGGTTTCTCTGTGTGGCTTTGTAGATCAGGCTCGCCTCTAACTCACAGAGATCTGCCTGCCTCTGCCTCCCAAGTGCTGGGATTAAAGGCGTGTGCCACCACTACCAGAAAGGTAGGACGATCTTAAATTCAAGACCTGCCTGGCCTACAGTGTGAGATCAAGGCCAGAAGTTAAAAACAAAAACTCCTGGAATAATCCCAAATAAATGAAAGGACTTCAGTCATAATAAGAGCAAAGAACTGATTTCCTAATCCTGGTCAAACAACAACACTGCACACAAAACAAAAAATGAAGTAGCTAGAAGAATTATATTTGAGCAAAACACATTGCTTTTTTTTTATCCCCTTCCTCAATTCTGCTGTAAAGCAAAAGGTGTTGCTTCTTCTGTACATCAAGTTCTATATCCTGAAGGGAACTCAGCTTCACTGGATTGTCTTTAGCTTCCCCATTTTGCTGGGAAACTTATTTAATGATAATAACAAGTTGTTATTGTGCTGTAGCCAGATCACACAGGCAGTTTCAAAAGAAGTATATGAGGAAATACATACTATTTACTATGGCGTGAAAAGCACCAGGACAGTTCAGGGTAAAGGTGGTGTGCTGTACATGCACGGAGCAGAGCTTTAAGCATTGATTACAAGCCAACCATCATCAAAAGCTATCCTAGTTAGGATTTCTATTGCTGTGATAAAGCACCATGACCAGAAACAACTTGAGGAGGAAAGGGTTTAATTCCACATCATGACAGTCTATTATCAAAGGTCAGGACAGGAACTCAGTCAAGCAGGGCAGGAACCTGGAGGCAGGAGCTGATGCAGAGGCCATGGAGGAGTGCAGTTTACTGGCTTACTCCTCAATGGCTTCTTTGGTCTGTTTTCATACAGCACCAACCCAGAGGTGGCATCACCCACAATGGGCTATGCCTTCCTACATTAATCACTAATCTAAACATGCACCACAGGCCACAGTGCTGGCATTTTCTCAACTGGTATTTCTTCTTCCCAAATGACTCCAGCTTGTTTTGTATAGGCTGGTGAGATGGCTCACTGTGTAAACCACACAGAAAGCCAAGTGAAGTAGAATGCTATCTATGTCCTAGCATTCTATGGTGAAATGGGAGGCACACGGAGAAATGACCTGAAGTTGGGGCAGCAAGCATGGAGTACATATGGCTCAGCAGGAAAAAGAGACACACATTCTTTTGAAACCTCCTCTGCTGCTCCACCCCCCCCCCCCACACACACACGAGCTCATGCAAACACAAATAAAAATGAATTCTTAAAAAAAATGGCATTTTAGGGTTTACCATATAATAAAAGTTTTTAAAAATCATACTCAGATGTAAAGGTAAGTTGCAAATAAAAATCACCTGCTGATACAAAACTACTATTCTCATGATTATAGTTTGTTTCTAACATTTTAAAGGCATTGGGTGATTTTAACTCATTTGTGTTCAGTTATGTCAAATGAAGTTTGTGCTTTCATCTTCTGTCTCTAGTTACTGTTCTATCGCCATGAAGAGACATCTTATTAAAGACAGCTTATTTAAAAAAAAAAAAAAAAAAAAAAAAAAAAACATTTTATTGGGTTCAGAGGGTGAGTCCATGCCATGACTGTTACAGCTTTTGGAAGCAGTAGCTGAGAGTTTTAAATCGTGATCCTCCGGCAGCAAGACAGAGGGAAATTCTGAGCCTTTTGAAATCTCAAAGCCCATCCCCACTGACACCTTCTAGTTCTGCCTAAACAGTTCACCAAACTGGGGACTAAGCATGCAAATACACTAGCCTGTGGAGGCTAGCCTCATTTAATCCACATTTCCTTTAGAACTTACACTGCCGATTTCCCTCTGTTTGCTGTGATGACTTTCAGTTAAAGAAAAAGAGGTAAGAAAAGTGTCTTTCAAAATCAAGATTATGAACTATATTCAGAAAGGGATAGCCAGGACTACCTTTGGTGGATGACTAATGCAGCCTTTTGAACTAGTGTGTATTTAACAGATGTCCCAATAAACTGAGGGGTGTTAGAAAGGCAAGAGCGCCCGGTTCTAAGCAACTGAAAAATACCCTTTCAGACTGTTGTAGCCTGTGGGTCACATTTTTCAATCCTTAATCTTTAAAATGATTAAAACAAAACAAAACTCATAAACCCGTGATTGACAGAATATACACAGCACAACATTGATCACTGTAAAATTTCCTTTTTTTTTTTTTTTTTTTTTTTTTTTAAAGTTTTAGAACAGACTGGCCTGGAACTTGCTATGTAGACCAGACTGACCTTGAACTCAACAGAGCTCCTGCCTCTGCCTTCCAGTAATGGGGATTAAAGGTGTGTGCTACCATGTCTGGAGTTTCTTTTTCTTTTCAGACAAGGTCTCATGTGTCCCAATATTCTTACCTTAAAAAAATAAAAGAAATTTCAGTCAGTTGGAAAAAAAAAACTGATTAATTTGTCTACATTTCTCTCTCTCTCCCCCCTCTCTCTTTATGTGTGTGTGTGTGAGAGAGAGAGAGGGAGAGAGAGAGAGAGAGAGTACAACTTTGGGGAGTTAGTTATCTTTCTCTACCACGATGTCCTGAGGACAGAGTTCAGATGCCAGGCTTTGTGGCAAGTACCTTTACTTGCTAAGTCATCTCATCCACTTAAAACCGATTGTAAGAAATTATTTTGGGGAAAAAATGGCTACCTTCTTGTTGTAGCTTGGTTTTTGTTATGATAAATACTATGACCATTAGCAACTTGAGGACAAGGAGTTTATTTCACTGTATAACTCCTAGTTCATAATCCATAACTGGGGTAGAGGGAGTAGGGGCAGGACCCTTAAGCAGGAAGCTGGGGGCAAAGCTTCTGGAGGGACCCTGCTTACTAGCTTGTTTCCCCTGGTTTGCTCTGCTTGCTTTCTTACAAAGTTCTGACCTACCTACCCAGAGATGACAGTGCTCAGAGTGGGCCAGACCCTCCCACATGAAATAGCAATCGAGAAAATGCCACACAGACATGTCCACAGGCCAGTCTGATAGAGGCAACATCTCAAATAAGAATCTCTTCTCAGCTATGTCTAGGTTCTTATCATTAACAAAAACTTTAACACTACTCAGGAAAAAATTATCTACAGTGTACAAAAATAATTTTAGATGTTTAAATGAGTAAAGTACTAAAAAGAGATAACAGAAAATGATTCCAATAATTTGTGAAAGGACAATAATTTTGGATTTTACAAAACACAGGCATTTAAAGCCAAATGACAAGTATCTGGCATATACTGTATTTGTATCTTCCTGAGTGCTGCGATTAAGAGCATTGGCCACCATGCTTGGCAACAAATGTATCTCCAAAACAACAACAACAACAAAAACAAACAAAAACAAACCAACCAAGAAACAAACTTGAGAAAGATAAAGTAAACAATGGTAAATCTAGAGCAATGTCATCATGACAAAACACATACATATTTTACCTACTATCCATTTTTCAAAAGTCTAAAACAGCAAGTCACAGAGAACAGGATGCATGATCTCATTTTCATAGGAAAGCAAAATAACAAGATTATGTGCCTTTAAGAGATGTGGAAGGCTTTGTCTTACATGATTGGAAATTATTATTTGAGGGTTCACGGTCCCTCTCAACGCGGGGCAAAATAACTTTTCGCAAGAAAGTGGTGCCTGTGTTTCTGCTCCAAGTCGCAAACTGCGGGGCATTATTTTCCCTTCACCTTCGCATCACTTCATTTCTTTTATGATAACTTCTCAAAAGCATCTATGAGAGAAAAGACACCCAGGAAGGCTGCTCAGTGCAGCCAGCCTAACAATGAGAAAACCCAGTAATTAATCAGGGGCACAAATTCTTCCCTCTTGTTCACCGCTGGGTTTGTGTGTGTGTGTGTGTGTGTGTGTGTGTGTGTGTGTGTGTGTGTGTGTCTCAACTTGTTGCCTCTGTGTGTGTGTGTGTGTGTGTGAGAGAGAGAGAGAGAGAGAGAGAGAGAGAGAGAGAGAGAGAGAGAGAGAGAGAGAGAGAGAGAGAGAACTGTTGCCAGCAGTCTATAGCGCGGTGGGGGCTGTCTGAATGACTAGCATACATGGATGACTACTTCTGCTCTTTGCACCTCAAGCCACCCATTCTCCGGGACCCGTGGGGGAAATTACTCAACTTCTCATTGACAAGACTCTGATGACACCTCCACAGGAAAGCCGAGAGGGGAATTGTGCAACTCCCGGGATAAACAGAAAGAACCTAGTAAGTAAGTGTTCGAGAGCATAAGCGCAAGAGCAGCCAGCCACTTCTGGCAAGTCAGCCAGTCTCCCGCAGGAGTCCGGGGTCCGCACCCCAGCACCACAGGCCGTGTGGCGCTCATTCCCAGCTCTGGCCGCGGCGGGGGACAGTCGTCGCGAAGCCGAGGTCACCGGCCGGGAAAGCCCCACGGGGTCAGCCTGGGGGCAGGACCTGCCCTGTCCCTCGACCCAGATCACACCTCCCAACTCGCAGCGGCCGCAGCTCCGCTCCTCCGAGGCGACCCCGCTGCAGCGAGTCCTCCCGCTCACCCACCCCAGTCCTGCGTCCTCGGCCTCGGCCGACCCAGACACCAAAAGTCTCAGTTTCTACTCACAGTTGAGGGTTTCCGCGGCGCTCTCCCACGCTACAGGTCGCCGGTGCCCGGCCGAATGACTACAGCCGGAAGTTGCTTTCCGTTCCAGTTCAGAGGGCAGCGTCTGCGCGCCGAGTCATTAACGCTTCACCTTCCAGCTGCAGGGCCAGGCCCCGCCCCCGCCCCACCCCCGCGATGGCCCCGCCCACAAAGCCCTCGCCAAGCTCCACCCCAGCCAGGGGCCGCATAGGAAACACTGTATTGTATTTAAAGGCCATCTCAGTGACTTAACTAGAATTTTGAGCAAACCATGAATGACTTCTCATATCACCCTATATGTAGGTTAGAGAACCACTCAGAAAAACTTGAGATATTGTGAAATTCCTGTAGGCCCAGGTACCTACATTTTTCCTTATGTGACTGTAATTAAGTGAATCAGATATTCACTTAATTATGTGTATTGATACACATAGACAACACGTCGGTGTTTTCCCCATTAGTAATACTTTACAAAGAATGTACTTGCTAAACAAAGCTCAATTGTTGATAGATGAGAGTAGAAATTTATTTAAACATTTTCTATGGATTAAAAGTTTCTCATTGTTCTATTTGCAGCCATGCTCGAATGGTCTAAGAGAGGCATCTCAGGTGAACACAGTGAGGAAAAGCATCTTTTCTCTTTTAGAACAAGAGGCTAGGTTTCTGATTGTCCTCTTTTTTTTTCTTTTTTTTTTTCTTTCTCTTCCTCTGGCACTCACATGTGCTTTATTTAGCTCAGTAAGTCCAAGGTTCAACCATTTGTCAAGTTCCAGCGGTGAGCTTGAGTATTTGGGGCAACTAAAAAGTCAAAGCATAGTTTAAAAGGGTTTTAAAACTCACATCAGCTGTGGTGGCTTGCACAGAACGTGCTGCGAAATCAAGTCAACCAACTTTCTAGCACCAGGAAGCAGCACAGACCTGGGCCCCTAACTGAGGGGTTCTGGGCAGTGGACTGTGGGGAGATGGGAACAGTTTTCTTTAAGGTGTGACCCATTCTACTTTGCATGACCCTTTATGCATGAATATAAGCAGGCAACACAAACTGGACTTGGTGGTCACTTGAAAAAAAAAAGGACATAAAGATCAAGTGATTTTTTTTTTTTTGTAATAGGTAATCATGTTAAATGTGATACAGCACTGCTTACATTAAATGTCTTGCTTCTTCTAGAGCAGGCTTAGGAGCAAAACAAAATTGACAGGGAGGTCTAGAAATTTGGAATATGCCCCTCATCTCCACGTGTATAAATTTGTACAAGGTCAATATCCTCAGTGTTGAGCCCGAAAAAAACCTGCTATAAACAACAAAGTGCTAGTTTTTATTAGGAAAAAATAAATTATCAACTACTTAAGGTAAATGCAAAGGATAGGAGAGATGGCAGCTGTATACTGTTTTGTTAGGGAACTGCCAAACTACTTGCACTCCATTATGGGAAAAGGAAGTTTCTGTCCCTGCCAACTCTTGCCAGCATTTAGTGTTCTCAGGGTTCTAGAGTTTGGTCATTCTAATAGGCAATGGGGTCTGATTGCTTTAATCGATGGCTTCTGGGTGGAGGAAAAGTGGCTATGGCCCTGTGACATGTGAACTTTATATGCTTACTTGTCATCTGTAGTTTTTTTTTTAAACATGGTCTTACCCTGTCACTATAGATGGCCAGGAAAACTCTATGTAACCACACTGACCTTGAACTCACAGACATCTGCTTGCTTCTGTTTCCTGGGTACTAGGATTAAAGGTGCCATCCTCCATAGCCATCTGATAATGTCTTTTGAAGAGCAGAAATTTCAAATTTTAATGAAGTCTAGCTCATCCACCATTGATTTTGAATGTATTTGAAGCTGCTTTGGGATTCTTGTTGAAAACTAGGGAATTAATAATACAGTCAGAACACAAGGCTGAAGGCATAGGCAGTTTGCAATATGCCTGTGCTACAAAATTTGAATAAAGAAAAATACACACTTCTTAAATATGTATTTTTCTTTTTCTGTTCCCATGATGTTTAGTCTTGGAAAGAAGTGACTGTACATGTGAAATGAGCATGGATGCTCATAGAATAATTTGAAATAGATGATTTTTTAAAAATCAAAACAGTGGCATGTATTTTCCTCCTGTAATAATTATGATGTTCATCAGAATTGACACAGTATATTCACTGAAGATTTAAAATATAGTGTTATGGACATCCGTAGGTAGAAGAATGAAACTAGATCCATATCTCTTGCCTGCACAAAAATAATTAACTTTAAAGAATCAAAGATGTTAATGTAAGACCAGAAACCCTAAAATTGTTAGAGAAAAATGTAGGGGAGATACTTTCAGTTCTAGACATAGTCAAGAACTTTCAACAGGACACAAGTTACTTTGGGAAATAAGGCTAACAATTGACAAGTGGGACCTCATGTTAAATAAGTAAAGAGATGGCCTACAGAACGGGAGAAAGTCTTTGCAAGCTTTACATTTGACAGTGGATTAATATCTAGAATATACAAAAAACTAAGTAAATTAAACAGGGAAACAGCCCAATCAATAAATAAGCCAGTGAAATGGACAGTGCCCAAAAGATGAAATACAAATGGCCAACAAACATAAAAGTGTTAAATGTCACCAACTTTAAGAAATAAAAATAACTATATTAACATTCCATCTTACCCTACTCGATATAGCAGCTTTTATTTAAGCAAATAAAACAAAATGCTTGGGGGCAGGAGTTGGACAAAAGGGAACCATTATATACTGTAAATAGGAATGTGAATTAGTTAAGTCATGACAGAAGTAAATATGAAGGTTTCTCAGAAAACCAAAAGTAGATATGACCCAGCTATGACATTCCTGCATTCCTGGGTATTTACCTGAAAGACTCCAAGATGACTTATTATAGAGATATTTGCATGTCAATATTTATTGTAGCACTATTATTCACAATATCTGTTTCGAAGCCTAACAAGGTATCCAACAGAGAAATGTATAAGTAAAATGGATATTTTAGTTTTAGCTTTCATTTGTAGTTCCTAGATTTAAAATAAATGCATAAAACCACACACACACACACACACACACACACACACACACACACACGTAGAAGTGAAACTAGGGGAACAAACAGGACAAGAGAGGAGTGAGAAAGGAGGATGGAAGGGTGTGTGAGGAAGGCTCGATGTACAATATATGCTTCATGAAAACTTTAAAAACTATATTGAACTAACACTGGTAGAATTATTTTTGTGTGTATGTATATGCAGGTATACATGTGTTGCTAATGTGTATGTGTATGCATGGGCACATGAGAGCATTGTTGAACATTCTATATCCAAGTATGTAAAACCAATAGTGACAGGGAATGAGTACTCTGAGCTGGAACTTTAAGTCTCTGTTGGAGATCAGAAAATAAATAAAAAATTTTAAAGACTCAGTAAAATAAAAAAAAATCAAGATTAGTTATAATCATGCTAATATAGACATCAATAACAGAGAACATTGACTTGGAAGGGAGGAAGCAAGGGAATTTATAGTTCTTGCTTTATTCTTTCTAAATCTAAAGTTGTTGTGAAATAATTTGATTGACTTAAGTTGCTTTATGATTAAAAGAAAAATTGCTGTTAAAAACTGTAAGGTAGAGTGCATACCGAGCTTGTGTAAAGTCCTGGGGTCAATCCTCAGCAGGCCCCATGTCTACCTCATGCACACCTCCAAAGCCAAACCAAAATAGCCCTCCTAATACTATAAAGTTATGCTAATGTGAGTGACATATGAACAGTGATTAGGTGCTAAAAGTTCCCTAGCCTTAAATATTATTAGAAAACAATAAAGGCTTTAAAAATACATAATGAAACCCTCAATCAGGAACTGAGAAAAGTTAAATAATGTTTAAAATATCAGGAAAATATTAACAAAAATAAAACCAGAAGGTTTTTTTTAAAAAAATAAAGCTAAGTATAAAATGTTACATCCAAGGGATTAGTTCTGTGATGTGACCAATTGAAAAAAAAATGAGAGAGAAAATAGGAACAAGATGAGCACTAAAGAAGGTTATGAAAATGGCTGAGAATAAATGTGTAGGATAATATCATGTTTGTCAATACATTTGAAAAAAATTATCAGAAGAATTGTCTTAAAAATTATTGTTTTCA